GTTTTTTTTATTTTTTGTACATCTATACCTCTCCTTTAAAAAAAATCTTATTGGACGAGTCAAGCGGACCGTCCGACTGAGTATTCTTATACAGGACAAGTCCAAGCAGACTATCCGGAACAAGCGTCCGGTTTGGCAGAAAATTTTAACTTCTGCCCTATCGGACGTCTAGTACAATGCGATTTCTGTTTTTAAAACACACGAACTGAGGTCATTTTCTTCCCACCTTCTTCAATTCCTTCGAAATCTCCTCCATACTCCACTCGACCTTCATCTTTTCAACGCTCAAGTTCTTCAATTGAATACCAAATCAAATTAACCCACTTACTCTACATCATTTTCTACTTGAAATTTCTTTCATAATTTCACATTTTCCCCAATTTCGTGCCCTAGCTCCATTGGCTCAAAATTCCTTCAATTCAAACAATGCCAAGAACAAAGCAAGTGGAAAGAGGACAAAGACAACGAAAAGATGACCTCCATCACTTTCTCCAACGAAGAAACAGATTTTGAACCCGAAGTGCCAATAAACCAGTTTGAGAAAGCCCCCATTCTACTAAGTAAAAATATTGACTTTGTGGATTTTACTATTGAGGCTCCTGCTTTACATATTGAAGATTTTTTGGAGAAAATGGGATGTGTTTCGGTTTGTTCTTTAGAAAAAAATGCTTACCCTCAACTCATGAAAGATTTTTACACAAAAATGGTTATCACACCACGTTCGGATAGTCTTTCATGCTTAAATAAAATATGCGGATCACAGTTAATAAAGCTCTCATTCGAGACCTTCTTAACCTTGAACCATGTAATACCCAAGTAAACTCACAAAGCTCATCCGAATTTGGAATGGTATAACCCAAGTGATGCATGCCGCCGAATGACGGGAAAAGATTTTGAAAACATTACAAAAATTAGTGTCAATCAACTCATCTTACCTTGCAAAGTTTTGCAAAATATTATTGCTCACATTATACTACCCAGGAAAAGGCGTCGAGATGAGGTTAATTATTTTGACCTGTTTATTCTCGATTCATTTCTCGTTGACCATAAGTTAGATTTCCCGTCTATTGCCTTGGGCCTTATGAAACTTATCCACTCTTCACATTATACCAAAGCCCTACCCTGTGGAATGCTTTTAACCAAAATTTTCAAACACTTCAATGTCTCTCTTGATGGTGAAGCGGCAGTCAAACATCGGCCTAGTGATACAATCAATATTCAAACCCTCAAACGTATGAATATTTATAAAACACAAGGCCAATGGGTGGCTTACACTAAAGGGTTCGATGTTGCCTCGGGTCCTTCGACATTGCCTTTTGAAGAAGATGATGAGGCAGAAGAAGATGTTCCATTACCTTCGCATCGATCACCCATACCGACCTTGGGTGCTCCATCATCTTCTTCCCATGGTTTCACTTCCACTTAGGATCATTACAACCTCCTAAATGGGCGCCTTGACGCACTCACCTTATCATTTATCAAATCCAAGCTCGACATGATGCCATTCTTGCACAGCAAGTGGATATGTAGCCTAGCATAACGCGATCTATGACTACTTCTATGCTCATTTTCCTCCGGCGCGTTAGTACTTCTTTTGGTATTTGTCTTGCTCTTTAATTATTAATGCAAATGGTTATGGTTATGCACTTACGTTTTTCATGCTTCGTTGTTCTTCTTGCTTATGTCAAAAGGGGAAAATAGCATGAATAAAATGCATGAAATGAGATGACATGATACACATGCTTAACCTGTATAAGAAAGGGGGAATACACGATAGGGAAAACTATTTGTTAACATATACTTTTGCTTATCAAATTTCTTATATATCGTCCCTTGTTTGTCATAATCAAAAAAGGAGAAATTATTCACCTATGGTTGACTTCACGTTTTGATTATAACAAACAAATTGCTTATGTTGCTAACAATCGCATTTGAGTGATTATAGAAATTGTGGCAAGCTTGATCGATTGAAGATGAAATGATTGCCCTTGGAATACTCGTAAAAATGAGCAATACAAGACGAGATAAAAATTGAGCATATACGACAAATCATTCAAGACAAACATTGAAGCCATTAGATTTAGATATCTTGAATTCAAGTGTAAAGGTAAAATGCTTTAAAAATTGGTAATATGATTTGAAAGCTCAAGATGAATTTTTATGCATAAGAAAAAATGACGTTTCAAATATTTTCACATGCAAAATTATTTTTCAAATGTATGAACTTTATTGCATATTTGGAAATTTGGAAAAACCTTGAAAGATAAGAATTAAAAATATTCTTCAATTTCCAAACAATATAAAACATTTTGTTAAAAAATTTGGTCATACTAGACGTGTTCGGTAAACCTAGCAGATGTCCGATATCACCAATTTGTCCAATGGTCTAAATAGTGATCGTGCTGATTTCTAACCAAACGGATAGTTAACTATCCGATACATAGGAACAAAAATTTGATCATTTTTACTGTTATAAATACCATTATCAATTTGTATTCAATGTAAGAATTTCTAAGAGCAAAAAAATGAGATAGCGTTGATCTTATCTATTTAATTTTCAATCTTTGCCTATCTCTATCAATCCATTCATTTTAGAAAAACTTTTGAATGATTTAACTTTTGAAAAATCATTTTACTCATCAAAGTTTCTCTCATCTAACTCTTGAGCTTCATTTATTGCTATTTCTTAAAGAGTTATCATACTTAACTTTGAATACATCATCTACTATAAGAGAAGTTTCAATTTTTAAATCCTTTATTTGTAAGCTTGAGGGTCGTGTTGAGGTCTCATAACGCTCAATATTGTAAAAGAATCGGTGCTCCTTGTTTTTAAGTCACCGAAAGTTTTGTAAGGGTTGGATTGCACTATAAGTCAATCACATTTAGTGGAAAATGTCTTATTCGTGACGGATAGCTTGGTAACGGAGGACGTTGATCCTCTGGTTGGATCAAACCTCATACTAAATTGTGTGCTTTCTCTATCCCTTTTACTTGTTATTTTTATATTACGTTCTTTGCATTCGTCTACTTAGTTTCACATTTGTGAAAACTTGCTTAACTATTACACTCGCTTGCATAATAACTCTAAAACTTCAAATTAATTGTGAAAAAGTTTTAAAAACCAATTCATCCCTCCTCTTGGTTAGTCAATCTTGGGCATTCAAAAAGGGGTTAAGATCATTGTAAGTATAGATTTTACGTTTAATGAGGGTGAAATGTCTTTTCTTAAGGGTGAACCTGAACCTGTGAGCGAAACAGAACACGGTGAAGAGAGAGATCGGCTTGAGGTGGAGTTTGAAAAACTTAGCACATTTGTCACTGTCACTCCATATGAGGTGGAGACTCAAGTTCGAAGAAAAAAATGAAAGATTGAGTCGGCTCGGCCTTGCTTTTACTCGAGTTGAGACTTAATTTTTTGGCCGAACTTTTACTCGGCTCAAGCCAAAAAAAGCCTGCCTTAAAAAAGCCTGAGTCGGTTCGGCTCGGCTCGTTGACACTCCTAAATCTACCCCATGTACCTCAAATACAAAACCTCCACTACCTCTTTTCTAGCTACCAGCAACCTCTAGATATATAATTGTCTATGGAAGTAGAGACACGGAGTTCACAAAATTGGCGTGGTCATTTGTAGAGATGGAGACACAGTTGTGGAACCACTACTACCGTATCACGATTAAGCGGAATCATATGAGGCCTTCTGCCTTTTCTTTCTATCGTCTCTTCATTCCATCGTCGTCAAAGTTATTGTCATTCTACCCTCTTGGCGATTTGATAACAAATATGTTAGGGTTGGGATTGGGGTTTAAGGCTGGCAGTTGGTATTAAGGAACAAAATGAGGAATACCGTTGTGGTGGTGTCGAGGATGGCTAGGGCAAACGTTCATGGGGTGGTTTGGGATTGTGGAAATTCAACCACACTAGAAGTATAATGTTTTGTGCAATTTGGTTTACATGGGGGCCAAAAATAGAATAATTCGTGAAAATTTGTGATGGAAATGGTGTTAGGGTTAGGATAGAGTGTGTTGTGGAATTGGGTGGGGTGGATGGGGTATACTTGATTTGGAAAAAGATATTTGTATACTCTATCCCTTACCGAATGATTTACATTCTCTCACAATGCGCATGGGTCGTGCAAGAATAAAAAAAAAAAAAAAATTGAAAACAATGGGCCCACCTCCTATTGTGAGTTGTAGGTAAGGGATTCGGTAAAAATTTCTTGTACGTGTACCAACATAGCATGGTCCACTTGATTTTTGGAAAGAATAATTTTAGTACCTAATTGTTTAAATGAAAAATTAAAAAAATGGGTGCGAGGGTAATTTCCTCTTATAAATGTAACCACGCTATTCTAATTGTTGTAGAAATATAGTTCAATTAAATATTAAAAGAGCCCAACACAAATCAGAACGAGAAAGTGAATGACCAGATCTGAAAATTTAGACGCAGATAAAAAAAACGCTCTTAGCTAAAAAATTGTGGGAGCTCAACATAAATCTGAACAAAATAACACAACTATCAATAAAATATAACAAATCATTATCAAAAAACCCAAAAAAATAATAATAATTGGGAAAGTAACATAAAAATTAAGCCAACACTATATAAATTTATTAGTAGAAAAAAATTAAAGAAATGGTGTGAGTTTAAATTAAAATTATATTTAATTATCTATTCAATTGAAATGAACAATCGATGAATATGTTCCAGCGGGTGTCGTTCACAACTTTAGTCAAATTGAAGGTTTTGCGTTCTCGATCATGACGACCCTGGGTTATTGGGTTGATTTAATTGATTAATTGGATGTGTAGTTGCCTAATTGAATATTGAGTTTAATTGGGTCAGGTTTAATCTCTTTTCAATTGAGATGTGTTTGATTTTAAAATTTAGATTTTATTTTATTTGTTTTTTTTTTTTTAAAACGGTTCGACAATTTGTAACGATTTGCAAATTTAGATTTTATATATATATATTCATTTTGTACCAATGACTTAACTTCCATGTTTGGATAAATTTGTAAATTGAAAATTCACTTAATCAGGTAAACAGAACAATGTTCTAATCTGTTTGCATAACCAACCATTTGAAGACAAAGAAACAGATATACTGTTTGCAAAACTAACCATTTGAAGAAAAGGAAACAGTACATTTGGAAGAATTTTCCAAATCTAAGAAAACATTAATTCAGACAGTATAGCATGATCTCACAACCTAGAGATCTGAAGTGGAACTGGAACTTCAACAATTTTATCTCTTGAGGCGAGGACTGGAATCCTTTCCAAGCTTCCAACCCTCTGCATAAGATGCTTTTGACAATTTTCTGCTGCCATAATTCCAGCTGAATACGCACCATGTACAGAACCTTGGTGATCTAGGCTCACGGCTTCGCCCCCAAAGAAAAGATTGCCCAAAGGTTCTCGGAGCCGATCGTATATATCATCTGAATTCCCAACTGCGTCATAGGAATAACACCCAAGGATGTTGGGATCTGATCCCCAGCGCGACACAAGATATTGAACCTGTCAAGGACCATTCAAAAGTTGTGTTATTAACAGCATTTGTTCTCATGTTATGAGAGAAAAATAAGCATTTCATACAACTTGCATCAAATAGCCATGGTAAATATCATGTTTCCTTGAGAAATTATAAATCAGTAACTTCAGAAAACCAAATTGACATGAAGAAAAAAATACTCGAAACCTACAGGCTCAGATGCATCAGGGAACATTCTCTTCAGCTGTAACATCACAAAATTTGTAGCAGCCTCATCTGATAGCTTCTCCAGGTCATATGCAAGGGCTCCAGCTGCCATATAGACAAGAACTGGATGACCTGTGGCCTTGTGGAGATTGAGAAAATAACCACAAGAATAAGAGGTGGGTGCAACTACGCCCAAAAATTCCACATTTGGCCAGAAAACATTGTCAAATCGTAATGCAATCTTATTCTCATTGCCCACACCAAGATCTGATATTGCAGAAAGCTTCCATTCAGGCAGCTTAGGCTTGAACTCAATTAAATTAGCTTTCAGAACCCCTAGAGGCACAGTAATAATTGCAGCATCAGCAACGAAGTTCCTCCCATCCTCAACCGTAACAACCACTTTCTTATATCCATTGACAATCCTTTTAACCCTAAGAGAGAAATTTATCTTCAGTAAAGATGAAGGCAAAACAAGCATGAAGCTGAACAAGGGAATGTAATGGAGAACTCTTATTAGAAGTCAACTGATGGAAGCAGGTGCATTTACTTTCAATCCGTTGTTGGTTTTTTTTTTTTTTGTCAGAACATTATGAAGAAAATACAAAAACATGCAACAGATAGTACAAGATTTTCCTTGTCGTGCCTTTATACCAAAATATCTATGTTCACCATAATTTTGTTAAAAAGTACTATGAATTATGAACATCTGAAATTCATGCTTAATTAAATAGTTTTAGATGATTATTATATTAATGAATATGAAATTTAAATGGTATCGGGATCTTGAATGAATAGGTGTCACTAACGTGCTGAATACTTTGAAGACAGACGACAGTGATAAAATTTCTATATTATGAAAGATGTGCAAGCATACCGGTGATTTAAGCGGATGTCAAGATCTTTTGACAAGAACTTTATAACAGGGTCATAACCTTGCACCATCAGTCCATGACCACCAGAAAGAACTTTCTCCTGAACATACAGGTATAGAAAAAATTATGTAAATATTTATCCAAGTAAATTGATAATATTTGCATTTCCCAAACCATTAATCAATCCATCAGAATCAACTGAAACAACACTATTTAGTGGATACGACTTCAAATAGATAGTTCCATCAAATTTCAACATGTGGTGTCCATAAAGTTTAAAAACATGAATATAATATGCCAAAATGTCCATTTCGAAATATGCATAAAATGAGGAAAATATGTAAACAGCCAAAAAACTATGAATCATATGTAGTAGATACATTAACACTTGGCCTTGATGGTTCCATCAAATTTTGACACATTTATGTAAAGATATAAACATATTGCGCCAAATCCATCAAATTTTGATATATTTATGTAAAAACATAAACATACTGCCAAAAGGCATAAATGCATAAATGAGAAGCTATAAAATATCTTTGAAGAAACATTTTGTACAGAAAAATAAAATGTCTTCGAAGAAACATTTGCACAGAAAACACATGCAGTACAAACCAAATTCAGCAACTACATACCACGAGATCATAGGTGTGAAGAATGTACAGAATCCAAGTAATAGGGAAGAGAGAAATGAAATTAAACTAATTGATATTAACTTACCTGATCCCAAGCTTTCAGAGATATTGTGTCTGCATCTGCAGCAAACCATGCCTCCATTCTACAGATGTACCACTGCAGTACTTCATATGCAAGTCCTCCTTGTCTGAGGACACAAAATGTTACTGGTATAAACAATAGAATTCTATGTTTTAAAGATCATCGCAAAAGTAAACTTCAGACAGAGTCATTTGTTTCTGGTACCTCAATTCTGGATGCCTGTCCAGCACAAGGGATATCGCTTGCCTTACAGACATGTCATCACTATGTTCATTCCTCACTTTATCCGTCTAGAATTAAACAATATTAATCAATATCCTGTTTTCTGCATATGGAAAACAATGCAAATAAAAGTTTCAAAAATTTTCAGAAGTTATTGACCTACCTCCTCGAGGATCGGTTGTCAAATGATTTGAAATCAAGAAATGACAATTTTATATGTACAAATAAAAAGGATGGTGAATGACTCTGCTTGCTTAATATAGAAAATACTCAAAAGTTTTCACTGTCTCCTTTCTTGAAAGTATATCAACTATATTAAACAAAAAATAGATAATGCCATGTCCGAATAAAAAATATGGATGTCAGATCAGAAGCTGGTTTCTTAAGGCGCCTATAACATCTTCCAACATTAGAATATGCTAGTCTAAAACTGTTCCAGGGGGAAATAAATGAAGTGCGAAATAAGGCTTAAATTGAAAGCTTAAAAATGTTTGGAAAATGTATTATAAATTAAGATATTGGGAAGACCTCACGATGTTTAAAGTGTGTCTCAATTTTAGAATGGCCTTGTACTTTTTTAACATTTTTGTCAAGAAAAATAAAATGAAATAAATAAAATAATAAAATAAAATCCCATATGCTGTAAGCGTCCAACAATAGTTGACTGATATTCCACCAAACATATCATTTTTCATTTTGACAAAAGACCAATATATTACCTTTCCAAATCATGGTCATATAAAACTGAGTCCTCACCACTTGTACGATATAATGTAAGCCCCAAGCAGCTTATAACTTGAGACAACGGATTCTCATTGCAGAGACCATGTAGCCTGAGTATTATTCACAAGAAGTCAATAATAGGTAACAAAGATATTGGTAGCTTATTTGCAAGCTTCAAGACTACAAAAGAATGTTCTGAAGTACAAAACCAAATGAGTGACAGCCAACAATGCAAAAGGTTGACCTACTTAGTAATCAATATTGAAGAATGAAAATTAATTTTGTGCCACATGATGTCATTTGAGTAATGAATTCATATTTTCTGAAGTCCTTTAAGCGATACAAGCATTGGTGCAAAATACTTGTATTCACTTTCTGAAGTAAAGTTCTTGGTTATTAAATATATAATCTGTAGGCATAACATGCAATCCACATTCTCCCCAATTCCGTGAGGTCCTAAAGTATGACTAGTCAGCTTTCAAATGATACTGTGCATTAAAATTTAACAATGCGATTGTTGAGATTTCCACCAGCATTTTCTCTGCTGCTGTAGGAATTTTCAGCCAGAATTCACAAAGAGATGATTTTCAGTCTGATATTGGGATGAAAACTGTCTTTCTGTCAAATATTTGAGAGGATCTATTAGGACATTAGCCTTCATTGTATTAATAGACATTGAGACAAAAGAAAAATTTCAGGGAAAATCAGGATGAACGTGGAAAGATTCTGTTTAAAACTCGCAATGTTTTCACGGAGCTTCCCCTGCATTTTACCTTTTCCCCCATTGTCATTGGAAATAACAGAGCCTAATCAAGCAAGTTTAGATGGGGATGTAACTCAAGCTCAGTAAGGACCAATTCAAGATAATCACAACATATCTTGCTCATTCAGAATAGATATCTAGCAAAATTAAAATATGACTTACCATGATGCTCCCATGTCAACTGGGCAACCAAATGAGTAATCAGTGCAAATACGGCCGCCAATTCTATCTTGTGATTCCAACAAGATTACCTGAATAAAAGAGAAAGACATTGTCAGAAGGGAAAGAAATGAAAACGCAATCGCTCATAAAATATCACTTGGAAGGTATAAAAACCTTAAAAGATGCATTTTGAAGCATACGCGCTGCAGCAATCCCTGATATACCTCCACCAATGACAATGACAGAAGGCAATGCACCATGTTGCTTTCCAACACGGGAGCTATAGATGTCTAGTAAATGGACAAATATGAATCAGATAGGAAATGAACTTGTGTTTATCTCTCTCTCTCCCTCTCTCAAAAAAAAAAATGGAAAAATAGAAACTGAATTTACGGGTCACAAGACAAACAAATAGACTAACACTTGAAAAATGAGAAAACAAAGAGAATGTGGAGAAGATCACTGACAAATGAAACACAATTCTAGAATTATGTTGAACTCAAGATTTAGCCATGCCTGCAAATTGACTTACATATGCATGTGCGAGATTACTAAACAGCACTTTATATTGATATTAGATGAAACACGAAAGATTATACACAGCCCACATCTTATCAGATGGTGAAAGACTCATTTAGATTTTTTTTTTCCCCATCTTTGGTCAATATGTTGTCAGGATCCAGGAACACTATTTATGAGAGGGAGTCATTCTATTCTATAGAAAGCAAGCAATAACATGTGATTTAATGCATTAAGTCATCTTATGTACTGGTGAAACCGAGTTTATCAACTTCTTCTGCACATTAACCTCAGGTTTACTTACAACATTGAGAGTGCAAGAATCTTTAAATGTTAAGAATATATATATACATTTTCATACTGACCATTTATGGCCAGAAAAATGGAATTAATTGAAGTTTTGTATTACCGGAAATTTTAATTGTGTACCATGGATGAGTCTTTGCAAAAATTCATAAGTGGCAGAGTCTGGCTCTCCTGCCCCAGGTCCTACGACTTATTGGTAAACTATGCTTTTCACTTGAGCTCAACGTTCATGATATGCAAATAATTAATTCATCTCTGTAGGTCAAACAATTACAGTGCTCATTTTGGGAATTGACCATTTCAATTTTGTAGGTGGTATGTAGGTAGACTCAAATGTTAAAACAATCTTCTATTCAGGATGTGAATATATCGTGCATATTTCCAGCATAATGAGGGGAAAAATCATTTGTTAGAGCTCCAAATGTAATCTAAGAATACCATATTACAATTGGTAACAAAGATTTAATCAGATAATTTAAAACAATAATCAATGATTAAACTAATAGATAATACACAGAACACAACAAATAATTGTCAGCTACATACCATGCATTTACATAAAGCACAATAAGAGCAACTCCAAGGACTGTCTTTAGCATCTTATGCATAATAGAGAGCATCTTTAATTTAGAATACCCTCCAAAGCCATTTATTTTGGCTTTCATTTTTAATGTAAGAAGTTGAGTATCGGAATTGTAGCTTATTAAATAACAGTAAGAAGAATGGTGTGGACTCTCTATTTTACAAAGTGTCTAAATAGAAAACATCTTATATTTAGAGAGTCTATTGGACACTTCCATAAATATCATATAAATAACAGATGAAAATATCATTATCCCGCAAACAAACCACAAAAATTGGAGAGTCACTAACAAGATTTGAATATTTTAACTCAGGAAATTGGAGCATCATACTTACCGTCAAAGAAATCGCTAGAGAGCAAATCGTCATCACAATTGATATCCATTAACAGCCGGTGCCAAAAAACCGGCGAATTTTTCTCGAAATTCAAACAATGCAAATTGATGGACAAAAACTTGGAAAGCAACGGTGGATGATTGTATAATTTTACGGGTGTATAGGAACGGGAAAATTAGAAATCAATTGAGAAGAATGATAAAGAAGGAAGAGCAAAAGGCCGGCAATGAAGCGGCTGAAATTTGAAGAACGACGCAGTTTATCAAGCCAGCTCATAATAATCATAATAACATTCAGAAAAATCCACTCCAATTTTTGTTTCTACACCACTCGAAGGCCTTTTCTTCGATTGCATAGATCTCTCTCTCTCTCTCTCTCTCTCTCTCTCTCTCTCGCCCTAACTCTCCGATTTTTGTTCCTCTCTCTCTCTCTCTCTCGCAATGTGCAGATGAGATGAGGCCTACAAAGGAGAAACGGCGTCCCGATACGTATAAATAAGAGTAAGGGCGCGCCGTTGTATGTATTGGGGGTAATTTGGGGAATTGAGATAGAATTACAGGTAGATTCTGAGTATGAGGCAGCCTAGTCGGTTTAGGACTCCTCTTTCCCTCTCCCACTAGGAAGGAAACCACGGGGAATCCACATATTAGCTGTTTCCGTTTATCCTCTTTGGGCTTCAATGGGCCTACGAGGTACAGAGTAAAAGTTTTCTTCTTCTTTAATTAGAAAAATCTTCTATTGGCCTACCAGAGTCAATTAAGGTTTGTTCGGTAGTGATAATGAGAATTAATTTTTAGATCGTTAGAGAGAAAAGTGGTGTCCCACCCGTGAGTGAAGAAATAAAAAATGACGGCTGAAATAATGATCAAAAAATTAATTTTTGGGGTGAAAAATTGCTATCAAACGGGAGCTAAGTATTTGATAATTTTTTTCTCAGTAAAAATTGTATACATCATTTTTTACGCTCTGTTACATGACATTATATCATTAGATAGTTCAAACTTTTGACAGTCTTTCCCTCCAGTTAACACTCGACACCACTTATAATACCAATAATAATGCCAACAAAACACTCTACACAATTATTTTTTTAAGAAATGTTGTATTTTTCAATATCATCATTTTAACATTAGGTAAATAAAAATAATTTATTACTGAGTCGGTATATAATTATCAAAAGTGATATCGTCGTTGTCGTCATCAATTTTATTATAAAAATTACTTTTACTTTCATAACAAGATATAATATTGTCAAATATTTTTCTAATATAATGTATTCATTATAATTATTTTAAAATGAAAAATAAAAATACCCATTAAATTTCAAATTTATAAAATTACAAAATAAAAGCATAGTAGATATAATAGAAAAGTACTTCAATTGAATTACTTTGGTTAACAAAGGATTTAATAATTAATATAATTAAATAGAGTTTTAAGTCTGATTATTTAATTATTAATAATTGAAGAAATTAAAAGAAAAATTTGAAAACTACCCGTTCATTAGTTTTCAAAATCCGCTGTACAGATTCTAAATAAGAAGTTTGCTCTTATTATTTATATAAAACTAATTTGTTCTCTTACTGTCATGGAATATTCCAATGCATGTTCTCTTGTCCCTTTCTCGTTGATTTTTTTTATTTTTTTATTTTTTTCCAACGGCGAATGAGACACGACACAATTCAAGGAATCAAGCAATCGTAAAGGTGTTGTTTCTTTTACAATGTATTCACAGAATTTGACTTAATTCTAAAGGTTATAAATTACATGAAAATATCTTGATAACCGGCGTCGAGCATGAATAATATAAAAAATTCTTCATATACAATATACTTTCAAGAATATCTGTAATATAAGAATGATTAAGCATAATTAGGGATGACAAATTGGCTCGCATACTGCTGCTTTTTAAAATCGAGCAGACTCGATTCAGCTCATTGACACTCTCGAGCATAATCATCATGAAAAACTTTTACTTTCCAATACGGAATAATGCCATTTAGAGAAAATTATTAGCAATTGTCGCACGTGACATATACATAACAGTTTGTTATTTTATTCGTAAAATAATAAAAAATTACCATATTAATATATTAAATAATTATGTGTATCACGTTGAAAAACTACCGACAATAAAGTTACGCTTTAATATGTCACCACAGAGGGTCAAATTCAATATTGCCTGAAATATTATTATTCAACGAAAATGACTTTCCAGGACCCATTTTTACCTAAATGGTCCTTAGTTTGAATAAATATAGTTAACATTTCACGTGTGAAAAGTTTTAAGGCATGTTTGATAGTGTTTTTGCTTCTTATAGAATAATTTTTTGGGGAAAATATCTTATTTTCTCTAAAAGTTCTTTTAATCTGAGCAAAATATTTTTCCATGCTTTGTCCATGCATGAGGTCTACATGATAGTTTTATATTCAAAAGTCCATTGAAATAGTATAACATGACTTATTTTTCCATCATATTTTTAAAAAATAAATAAATAAAATTGTGAAAAAATCTTTTTTTCCTCATTTCAAAGTATGAAAATAGAATATTTTGCTATAAATCATCGTCAAATACGAGACGTTAATTAATGGAAGGTTGAATTGTAATTAAAATATATTATATCAAATAAAAATCTCGGTGACAGTATAACCACCCATTGCAACTT